AACTTTCTTCGAGGAAATTATTAAATGTTTACGGTAGATGGTAGATACGCGTGGGCGGATGGATATTTCAGGAATCGTAGAGTCGCAAGATCAACAGTGGCGGCAAAGTAAGTTGGCGCGCTTTATTTTAGTGGAAAATAAGCGAAACGTTTCCGACGGCTGCACGGGAGCGCAGGATTTTCGGCTGCGCCGCGGTCGCGCGCAAGGGGTTGGTCGGTTGATAGTGAATTCAGTTGGCAAAAAGTTTCGCGGCATAGACAAGAGAGAACGGCGAAACGCCACTCGAACCTACCTACGCGACAGTTTGCTTATTTAAGCTCGGCTTAAGCAAAGCTCTCGAACTCGGAGCGGGTAAAGGAGGGCTGGAAGGGAAGACGATCGTTGGCGCCTTTGTCGATCGAAAGATCGAACGTCGATCGGAGGTTACGCCACGATCTTTCGCGTATCGCGACTTTTCACCTTTCCCAAAATACTGCACGTCGTACGCGGTGAATCGGGACGTCTCGGCAACCCGATTAATTTTAACGAAAGAAAGAGGAACAAATTTATTTCTCGAGCTGACTCATTAATTCCCTTTCGCGGGGAGTTTCGGAATTACCAGAGGTTATGATCGACCGTGCGATATAAATTTCACGGGGCTAGACGCGCTTAAATTAAAAACATGAAAAGTGGCGTCACCGGTGCGTTGTCCTTATGAAATCCCCAGCTCGTCTCTTCTCTCGCTCGCAGTTAAGCGCAGCAGCCACCTCGCAACAAGCAAACTTCCGCGAAATAAATACCGTACTCCCCGCGACAAACGCGATCGCGCGCTCGAAACTTTCCGACCCTGCGGATAGTTGCACCGATCCTCGTGGATCGAGGATGTCTCGTTCCTCCTTCGCTTCTCTTTCCTTACGCGTCGAAAATGGATTTTTGTAATTTCGTCAAACTTCGTTCCGCGGCCATTATCGCGGGCCAACGGAGCCGGTGGAAAGATAAACGGAGCGCGGTTAGAACGTCCGAGAAGGTGAAAATTACGTTTCCTTAGTTTACTCGAGCGGGAGCGAGTACTGTCTTTGCTCAACGGCAGCGTATCCTTTTACGACGAGCAGAAGACGGTCGTTCGAGCTTCTCGCGCGCCGCGCGTATAACGATATCCGCGACGAGGCAACGAGCGATTGGCGCAATTCTCGAAGCGTTTTCGCGCTGATCGTCCGGACAGGAAGGGTCCCCATCGCGCATTATAATCCTCGCGTGATTCCGCGGAAGGAATCTGCTGGCGCGGAGGAATAGGTAATTATTATCGATGCAGCGGTTTACTTGGCTCGTCGTTGGATAATGAAATAATATTGGAAGCAGACAAGCATCCGATTTACGTAATCCTCGTGTAAAAGGGAATGGCTAAGAACGCAATTCACCGCGCGGATGACGGATGATCCGCGAACGAGATGCGATCGCGACGTCGAACTCTCGGGTTCGCGGCTCCGCGAGGTTTTATATGATGTCATCGCCATATTCCGCTTGCGAATATTACCGGTGCATCGGACGCGCGGCGATATTCGGGAGGAGAAAAAATCGCGGGCCATTTGTAGCGGCCGCGCTGCGTCCACCGACTCGCCTTAATGCTCGTAACGTGCTCCACTAAAGCGGACGAGCATCGTGTAAAATACGGACGAGACGCGTATACAGCCGCTCGATACCACCTATATACCTTTGCGTCCATGGATACCACTGCCATAGCCGTTCCTCCGCTTCCTCCTGGTTGCCAGGCGAAACCTCCGCAAAGCGAAACGATCGCGCTCGAAAAATCAAAGCGACCAACAGATTCGTTAACTTCCCCGTCAAATACTCGCGAACAAACTTTCTTCCCGCTTTCCAACTCGTTCGTCCACCTATTAAATCTCATTTTCCTTCGGTCTTGCCGTCGGTATTCCCGCGAGTTTGTCTTCCGCGACTTTATCCCGCCGCCATTTTGCTGTGCTCCGCGAGCCGCGAGCCGCGAGCCGCTTCGTCGTCGACGCTGCGAATGGACAAAGGGAAAAGTGTCCGCTCGTATCGTCGAATCTTATGCCGACATTTGCATATTTAACGATCGAGCCGAGCCGCGCTAACCGACCGTCAGTATTTAAATAACGACTGAATCAACGGTCGCGTGTCATCGAGCACCGGGCGAAAATAATTCCGTCAGTCCGCGCGAGGTTCGTTGAAATATCAAACGGCGGAATACGTAATAATTAACGCTACTTATTAACGGTAATGCCGGTCGTACTTTATTTCATCGAATGAAAATGTTTACCGACGTATCTCGTTAACGACGACGAGCGCGAGAGCTACGCGTAATCAACGATCGCGTATCGCGTTTGATCACCGAAGCCGATGGGACGGACGATTAACGCGTAATTACATCGTCGAAGATTTGACGTCTTGTAATTTTCTACGTACGCCGAGCGTAACCAGGGAATGTCCGCGCGGGTGGGCCGGGTCGACGTGTGTCATCGACTAAATCCGCACGCGCGTTCCAGCGTCGATAAAAGGTTGGAAAAGGAAACGGTTGTCATACCGTCGCGTCACTCGTAAAATCTGCCACTCTTATCGTCGCGATTAATTATTTATCCGTTAGACCCGTGAAACACGGCTTCGCCGAAGCGGGACCCGTCGATGCGCCGATAGCGACGTCCGAGAGAGAGACGATGATTATCGTCGGAATGGAAACGCAAAACCATACGGTATCGATTCCCGTGAACGGATTCCCGTTGTTTGTCGAACAAGCAATCCGGAGAAAGAACACAATAGGGAGCGTATTCCTGTTTGACAAGACGGAAATACCTTGCGTAAATACGTTCGTCATCGAACCGCGAGCTCGCGAGCAGTCATCGAGATCGTCATCGAGTAAAATACGCCCACTCGCCAAGATCCGCGTGTGCCGCAAAAACGAAAGAGAAACGCCAGTTGCTAGGGAACCAGCGCGTTCGTTATTTCCCCTCGGGAGCAAGATTAATGAACGCATTAATGGTTGCCAACTTGGCCAGAATTCTTCCGCCTCTGCGGCCGCAAAAGCTCGCTTCTCTTAAGGGTTTGCGTTGGCGCGACGCGACGTCGCGTTCCCATCCGCGTCGTAACAAGAAATTCGGTTCGCGCCCGAACCACTCGAGGGATGGGCGTCGCGAAGAAGCCTGCGTCGCGTTCGCGATGAAAAATCGACGTACGCCATGGTGTCGGGCGAAAAAACGGGACGGGGGTCGTCGCGTACGACGCCCACACGCCTGCAAAGATGATCCGCGCGAACGATTCGCGCTGTCACGGGCAACGTTGGCGTCGTTGCAACAGCAGACCCCGTGACGAATTATTACCGACGCGTAACCGACGAGCAATCGCGAGGAAAGTAATAGCTCGCTTTACCCGCTTCCGTCCTTTCCGCTCGGCAGCAGCCCCCGTCGTGTGCCGGTTCGGCCGAAAAACGCGCGGGGGAAAATTTATCGGAGACGTTGGTGTCTGCAGGGGCGTCGACAGGGCGTCGGCAGGGCGTCGGCAGGGCGTCGGTAGGTGCGACGGTAGTCGCGACAAGCGGAAAAAGCCGGAAGTCCCATTGTCCGACGGAGCGGCGAGTTTGCCGCGAAATATGATTTTTGCTCGGCCAACTGTGCGCGACGCGCGCTCGAACAATGCGGATTCACGGATCCGCGAAAGGGTCCGAGGATTCTTCGGCTCGTCAGCGCGTGCAAAACCGTTCACGGATCGTCGCGGTGAATGGCGTCGCTGGACCGTTCGCGCGGTCCACGGATTCGGTTAGCCGCGTAATTGGTGGCCGTCGAACCGAGACCTTTCCAAGAAAATCGCGATAAAGCCGATAACGCGTAACGAGAGGCGGATCAGGCGTCTTATCGGAACCGGCGCGAAGGGGAAAGGGGGTCACCGATTCGGCAAAGTCGGGGCACGTCGGGGTAACAACCGGGTACCGGCCGATTTTCGTCCACGACGGAGGCGATGTACGACGAAGTGGCGCGCGTGCAGGGGTTTGCGGGAGAAGAGTTAGCTGAGCGGAGAGTGTACGCACACGAAAATGGGTATCCGGTGCGGTGTACCCGCGGCCAGTGAATCCGAATCCGGCGGCTAAGTGGAACGCTATTATCGGTTCGTACGTGTGCGTTGTCGCGTTATTATATTCTAGCCGCACTTGCTACGAAATAACCAACGATCCACGGTTTATTAACACGGTGGACGCGCACAGGTTGCCGTTTACGTGGACAATGTTCGACCCGTTAATAATTTCATTGCGGACACCGAATCGTTTCAACGGGTTAACCGACCGCGCTACGACAACCTCGAGAACTCGCGCGAATATCTCGCTTTTGTACCCGTGTTCCTCGCGAAAACGGCCGCGCGCGGCAGACAAAAAAAGGATAAAGAGGCTGAAACGGAACAAACTCTGTTTAAAATCGAGTTTCCAGCGACGAGTCGGATAGTCGGCCCGCCGGTGTCGGTTTGTTTAGCGAAACAAACTGCCGACTATACTGATCTTTCGAGTAACCGCGAGCGATTAAACAGGTAGGCGACGCACGGTTAATTACAAAAATTGCAGCGATACAAAGGGCGCTGGAGCGATGGTCTGACAAAGCAACGTGGAACACCGGTTTCCCGGTTTGGCTCTTCCGGTTTGAAAGGTCAAAGGTCTCACGATTAGTCGAACGCTATTAAAACGCTGCGGTTACGGGAGGATACGAAAGAAACGGAGAAGAAAGATTGACACGCGCGATAATCGTCCTCCGCTTCGCCTCGCCGATCGAGAATCCTCCCGCAGCCGCGCCATCGATCGCGCGCGCCACCGGAAAGTACGCGACGACGACGATGATGATCTTGACCTTGGCACACGCGTCGAATCAGAAAAGCCATCGAAAAAAATCGCCGAGATTTTCCCGCGGATGTGATTCGCGTGCCTCCGCCGGGGAAGAGAGCCAGGACGGGGTGGGAGATGAATTATAAAGAGACGTTCTACGGTGAGAGGTTTTACAGTTACACCTTGCTCGCATGCCACTACGAGACTGAGTGGCACGTGCGAGCTTTCGTCGCGTCACGACGCGTGTATCTCGCGAGTTTATCCCCGATTGGAAACATCGTTTCGTTTCGTTCCACTTCGTTCCGGCCGATCGCCCGCTTTCCTACGCGAGTTCAGGTACGTCGAGTGCGTTCGCTGCAGGGTAAAAGTGAAAATGGCAGTCGGCCGACAGCGTCCGGTAATAGAGCATCGTTTATCTGTCCGTCGATCCGAGACCGGCGCAAAGTGCGGCGAGAAATCTTCGTCGTTGGCCAATTTTCGCCGAGGAACGCCGGCGCGGGCACCGTAAACGACGGCAAAACAACGGAAAAACGACGGAATGCGAATAAATCGCGGTTACACCGGTCCTTTGTTATTCGCGAAACAGCGGCACGATAAAGTAACCGCGTTTTCTACGGCATCGGCAAAGTGCGTTTTAATAACTATCGTCTTGCTGCGCATTTTTTCCGCTTTATTTCTTCCGGCATTAATTCGCGCCGGTACACGCGGCAAATTCAGCCGCGTTAATTAGAGGTAAATTAATTAACGTGGCCGGTTTGTTAGGATCTGCATTAATTTTCCGGGCCCGCTAATTAATACGAATATTTATTTCGATCCGATTTTAATTCGCCTAATTTTCCAGCGCGATTATGCAAACCGTGTCGAAAAACGAACATTTTCCGCGGTTCCTTCACACACACACGCACACGCGCGAAAAAAAAAAGAAAACGGGAAAAAAAGAAAAATTGCAAAACTCGATCATGCGACGCAGCGGCGCGTTCGAAACGACCGTGTCTTTTCGCGCGCGAAAGTGGCCGCGAGTTCGAAACGAGGCGATTTCGATATGTCCCTGACTCCGATTGGCAAGCACCGGATATGGACGCGAACCGATGGCAAAAACCGAGTCTCGGAATCTGGACGAAACGCGAATACCTGAGAGTGCGCGAAACAACTGGCTGCGATCAGCCATCGCGAGCGGATCGATCTCTCCACGCGGAGCGTTCACGAGTCGTTAACGAATCTTTCGCCGCGCTGCTCTGTTACCCGCTCGCTCGCTCGCTCGGTTTCGCTTTTTCCCTGGCGAATCTCGCCGCGTAACGCGGCAGGATCCGATCCGAGCCCGTCCAATTACCCCGTCGCGCACCATCCTCATCGATCGTTGCCTTTTGCTCGGACGTCGCGCGGAATAACCGTTGTTTCGTTGCTCGTAGAATGTCCTACAACGTGTCAGTCTCGTCGCCCTGCTCGACGCCGTATCTTGGACCGAGCCTGGCGCAGAGCTGTCCCGGATCTCAGTTCCTCACGTTCATGACCCTCCTGGACACGTTCATTCGAGCCCAGGATAAAATATCTCAGCTGTGCGAGAGAGTGAGACCCGTGGATCCACCGGAGTACTACTACGACTTCATCGTGGTTGGCGGTGAGTACACGCTCGATAACTCGATACCCGCGAATTCCCGCGAATTCCCGCGAATTCCCGCGAGTGCCGCCGCTGTTGCGGGGTAATTTTCATACAGCTCACCCCGTGATTAAAATTTCCACGCATTCCGGCCGAAATACCGTAACGAAAGCAAATGGCTTTCGCTGAATGATTCACGCGAGCCTCTGTTGCCTCTCCACGACCTCGATTATTAATCCCACTTTCTCGTCGTTCGGACGGCAACGAGCTAATATTATAATAGACTTTAACGACCGGGGCTACTTTTAATCCGGCAAACGCGAATTAATCGCTGCAACTCGGCCGGCTACGTCGATTAAACTCGTTCCCTCCTCGTTACGACTCGGTCGACGTACGAATCGGCGAATCGACGTTCCTCCAGGTGGAAAGGAAATTTTATGAAGCGTCACCCCGCTGTTGCAGACAGCGCGCGAGCAACGCTCCTCCAGCGCAATGCAACATTCCGAAGCGGCACTTGTCGTAACGAAATCCACGGAAATCGCTCGACCGTTTCCCATGTCCGCGATTGATTATTCGCTCTGGAAATCGCGCGAAAAGTTGCTCGGTAAGAGGTACGAGCGGCGCGCGTTCGCGGCTCGAGCAAATGCGCGCCGTTTAATCGCGGCCCGTCCCATTTGCATCTGTTCGATGCTCGTCCCGGTTGAAATTACAATTGGAAAGTTATCCGTTCTCCCACGGACAGAGATCGTCCGTGTAATTTCCGCGTTAAATACAATCTCGCGTAAAGAAGGTTAGACACGGAGCCGTGCGTTCGCGTACCGCGCGCAACTCCGCTTCGTCGTGCACTCCACTCGCTCGCGTGGTTTTACCGCTTCTATTAAAACGAGCGAGTAACCGCGATCGAGAAACAAGCATAAATCGAGAGAAATAAATAGGTAACGAGCGGTAACGCTTCGACTACGAGAAATTCGATCCAAGTTAAATATACTTTATTAGCTCTTGTTTCCGGCGAAAGAGGGAACGGTTAACGAAGAAAGCTTTCCCCGTCCAATGCAAATGCCCCTGAATCTTATTACCGGAGATGTATTCGTTTCAAATTGATTCGTATCGGGAACGTATCCCGCGGGATCATTCGAAATTAGGTCAACGGCCGGTATATCTCCTTCGGCTAACTGCGAACCATCCGATCTCGTTCGAAAGAAACGTAACGATATGGCTGCGGGTAAATAAACGAACGAAACAATTTCCCTGATCCGTGGTAAAGTTCGGTATTACGGATCGGGGCGAGTTTAAAGAACACCACCGGGACGGTGTAGATCGCGACGGTGTGCTCGGGATAAACTCCGCGGAAAATACCAAACTTTGATTAATCCCTTTACAGCGGATTATTATACCGTCGAGAAGAAGATACGACGGGGGAGGTACGATCCGCGAAGACGCAGCGAGATCGAAGCGCGATACGCGGTATTAAAAGGGCATTAACAGGGGGGTGCAATGGGAAGAAAGGACCGATATCGCGGCGTTTTCTAAACGAATGCAATTAGTAAACTCGGGCGACAAGTTAACTCGTTACGCGCGAAACAAATGACCGTGCAACTTGTCTCGGTATGCTTAACGGGTTAAGGAGGGTGCGCGCGGGGGACACGGTGTTTGCGGCGGGGGGGAAAAAAGAAGCTAGTAATTGGATATTTTACGACGCGTCGGCGAAACGGTCGCGTAAATCCCGAGCGCGAGTTCGCGGTTACCTTCCGAGCGTTTCGTCGGTTCGACGCTCCAAATTAATTCCCGCCGTCTCCCTTGTGCCGGCATCTTCCTCCAGATTACCGCGAACCGTCCCAGGCCTCTACCGAATCGCGATAAGGATCGACACTCCACGATCCGCTTCCCTCTTTCATCGCGGGACCCGCCAACTTTTAATCCGGTTGCCCGTCGAGCGATAAGCAGCGTCATCGCCGGCTGTTGCACCTCGCGGCCCGTGAATTTTACACTTTCGCGCACGATTCTGTCACGCTGCCAAGGATAACTCGTGGAAATGGAAAAGCGTCGGTACTGTCGAAGGAGGCTAACGAAAGATCCGCTGGTTCGCCGAACACCCGAACAGAAATACGTTTGTGGTATTGCGAGCTGGGAAGGACTCTAGCGAAGGAAACAGTAATAATCCTCTGCACTCGACGATTTTTTGGCTGAAGAAGAATAGGGGTTCAAAGATTGTCTGTTACAAAGCTGACGATATTTTTCCGAGCAGCGAATAAGAAGTCGTATGACAATCAACGCGTAGAATAATTTGATTTCGATACCTCGCACATCGTTACATTATCTGAAATTTCACGCATAAATGAATACCGAGCTTCGAAATTTTATCAAATGGCGACTGAAGAGCGCCTCCCGAGCGCAAAGGGTTAAGAGCGGTATCGAGACCGGCTTAGACGTTTAGGGTAACATCCGAACTGCGTGCGGACTGGTGGATGACCGCGTGCAAGGATTGTATAGATGAGATATTTATGATCGGATCGAGTGCAAGCAATGAACGAAAGTCTAGGAATATGTCCGAGTGTCCGAAGTACCTCGAATACGCTCAAATAAGGGTGCAAGGGCGCGGGCGAGGCAGAATGCGTTTAGCCGAGACGTAGATAATAGAGAATCTCGTGTATGAGAGTTAGAGTTGAGAGAAACCTAGCGCAATATTTCAATTTCAACAAATCTGTTTTCTTATTAAAAAGGAATCGTTGTTTATTAGACGCGCAGATCTCTGTCAGCATAGAATTAACCCTTTCACTGCTGCAGACGTTGTATGGCGTCACGCTACGACACGACTGTCAGACTGCGGACGCCATACAACGTGCAATGGATTTCAAAGCTGTCAAAGCTTAAAAAATTTTTTCTCAACACGATCCAACTGTTCCAACGCGTCCTGCCGTCTTTTAGAATAATTTTGTTCGAGTTGTCAAATTAATTGGGAATAGGACATTTGCTACTCTCTTCCTAGCTCAGGAGCGAAAAGGTTAAAGCGTGCTGGGAGAGATCGTTAAACGGATGAGTCGCTGTCCCAGTGAGTTCCCGTCTGTCTGCGACTGTGACCGACTGGTAATGGCGGAACGATCGAACCGCACTGCGTCCCGCACAACGGAACGAGAAACATTTTCAATCTCCGTAAACGGTATTTACGCATACGCGCGGGGGTCAAACAAAATTATCGCGAATCCGAGGCTACCGCCGGCTCGATCGTAATTCCTCGATTATGGCGAACGACGCAACGACGAGAAACGCGGTTCGACGGATCGAGATCGTCCACCGTTTGGCCGCGATATTAACGGCGACTGCTATTCGTTCGATGGGTTCGCCTGATTACCCGGTTATTAATTTCATTTTCGCCCTGTTCTCCAATCTCGACCGGTCCGACGTGTTCCCGTGTCTCTCTCCGTCGCTTATTTCTCTCTCTCTCTGTCGCATTTCGACACTGTTACATTTTCATTGCTCGCAGCAGGAACGGATCGTTAAACGACAAGTGCTGAGAACCGGCATACTCGGGGACGATATTCGAAAAACTGGGTGCGCGCTGTGGCAAAAAGTAATCGCGATATTAGCGTTACACGAGTCGCGGGAAACCGGTTCGTATCGAACACGGAGTAATTAAGATTACGTGGAAGCGTGGTCATCGTTCGATCGCCCTGGAGAAGGCCCAAAGAAACAGCGAGAGTTGGTTCGGAGAACGTGCGCGGGGCGCGTGAGTGGAGGTAAAATATGCAATTCGCGAGGCTGCGTACCGCAAAATATTTTATAGTCGGTCGAGCCGGTATTTGCATAATCTCGCCGAATATTCAGCGTATCGCGCGATGAAAACGTTATTTGCTCGGTGACACTTTTCCTCGATTATACGCAATTTTTCGCCTTCCTTTTTGCTCCTGGGCATCGATGCGCGGCTACGCGCAGATTAGTGTGAAATTTCTGCTCGTCGCGTTACAGCCCTGTTCAAAAGCCGATCGCGGGAACGCTGCTCGATGGCGGTCGCGGGGGTCGAATAACCGTGGAATAACGTCTTTCCACGTCGCACGACTTTTATCCAACGAGGACACTTTATCTTCCTTTACCTCGCGGTGTAATCCGGAATCGCGCTGATCCTGTGTCACGACGGAGAAGAACGCGCGGAGGACGGAGACACGGTTTGACTCTACGGCTAAACTGTCTGCACGCGGGAACGGGATATCGTCGAACGATAAATATATTGTCCGGTAGAAACGAAGGTGGGTCATAAAGATAGAGATCGACGAGCGAAATAAGCAGCTCGGCTCGCTTTATGCGCGGATGGGGCCGCAGTTACCGGCGGAGCGGCGTAAATAACGTTGCACCGCGGCTAACGTTAGGTCACGGAGGATGATTCGGGTATCACGGTGACGCGTCCAAGGAATCGGAATACGCGGAGCGTAGATCGGTAGGTAGGATCCGCGAGGAACGTAACCGGAATCGGTTCAGCCCGGGGTTCCACGCCGGCGAGGACATAAAACTGCCGAGAAATAATGGGAAATCGAAGGAAATCGAGGGAAACGAAGAATAACCGAACGGCGGTCGCTTCGATCCAGCGATCCCGCTCCTTTCGGCGGCTTCCCTCTAATGCATCGCTGTGCCGGTTATGCAACCGAGTCGATCGTTTTTGCCCGGCAAGAACCGTTTTCACCTGCTGATCTCGTGCCGTTATAGCAGCAACGGGCTCGCGTTTGCGGAAAATGACATAGAGCACCGGCGCCGATCGCGAGAAAAACAAACTCGCCGCGTAAGAACCGGCACTTCTTTGCCTCGGATTTACTTGCGTTGCGAGCGGTGACGAAGCCGGGAATCGATATCGGCCGATTCTTGAACGCGGCGCGTACCGCTCGCGAGTTTTCTCGTCTTTCACGCGCCATCTGTCACGGACCTTAGACGTCAACGCGCTGTCGTGGAGATTTCTGCACGATACGCAATGCGTTAAAACCGGAGCCGACCCAATAACGCCGAGTTTCCATCGTTCCATCTCTTAGCTACGGTCATTCTTCTCCCGCAGAATCTTGCAGGCTCATCGATTCCACCGCCCGTTACGATTTTCGACCACGCTTTTCCTCGATTAATCCACGCGAAGAGCAAACAGGGTAATCGAGACAAGCGCAACAACGAGCGAGTCGTAATCGAAACGGCTTATTTTCCGCGCTACTGCGCGCGACTAGTCGGAAAAGCGCGAGGCATTGGCACAATCGCTATCTCCTGCGCGATTTCATCGATGGATTCAACGATGCGCCGATTAAACGCGGAACTAATTATCGCGGTTAACCTGCCTCGCCGATTCGCGCGCCGCGTTTCCTTCGCTGTTCGATAGTCACGGAACCTTTGCCTCTTCCAGAGTCGTTTCGATTAGAAAGGAACAATGGCGCCAAAACGCGCGATTCTGCCTCTCGATGGATCCCGAGTGGAATCGAACACAGCCGCAGTCGTGCCGAATATCCGTCGGCGCGATTAAATCTGCGTCGAGCGACGAGAAAAACCGAGTCTGCGAGGAGTACCGTCGTTAATTAATATTAAACTCCATGAACATGTTGTTAGTCCGTTAATTACTTCGAACAGCAACGACGAGCCTGATATAATTTCGCAACGACCAAAGCTTGACGTATTAATCTTCCAAAGCGTGGGCTCATAATTAAGTCTCATAAATATCTCGGACGCGACGCAGGACCAGCGCAGCAACGCGTTTCCGATGCCCGTCAAAGATAAAACTGCAACATTTACGTGTCATTCGCTGCAAATATTTACACGAGCTTTCACGTTGCTTCGTTTCCCTCGAACCGCGCCACTTCCTTTCCTGCACCGCGAAACCGCACATGTGCGATTGCTTTAATTTATTCCACCTTCTCCATTTGCCTGACGACTCGCTCGACATTCTTTCGCGGAACAAGATAACGAAATACAAATCGTCCGATTTCCTCGTGCCTTATCGCCGGGGTGAAGAATATTTCTACCAAAGTTTTCCTTAGTCTGTTTGCATACGCGTAGCTATTGTTTCGTGCGTCACCGATAAACGCCACTGTTAACGACACCGGGGATGTCCGCGGTAACCCGAACGTGAACCTCATCGTAATAATACGTGGCCATGACGAGAAAGAAATACCCGCCTCGCAGTCCGAGCTTCTTTCCGCCAGCGATCCGCGCGCGTTTCAAAATGGAGCGTGCCGTAGCACGCGGAAGAGGCCTGCTCCCGTTCCCTTTCCGAAAACGAAAGTACCGATTCCAATTTTTCGCTCTTTCGACTCGCCGCATTTGCATGCACGCGCGTGGAAGCACGCGGCTCGCGTAATCGAAGGTGAAACAAACACGTTTCGCGTACCAAAACACCGCGGCAAGCGTAAACCTACACGCATGGTATAATTACTTTTACCTGTTGGCACACCACGGCCAAGGCCTTATCGAACCACTTTCTAACCCGCGCTAAGCCAGATTTTCCCGCGACTCGTGCGTCGTATGCGACGCTCGTTGGACGCGATCGCGAACGTTCGTCGTCCGTGCGAAACGCGTTTCCCGCGGCTGGAGAAGCTGCAGCGATTTCGATCGGTGAACAAGCGGCTCCGTAATCGCGATTTTCGCACGTTCTTTCGACGTTTAACCCGCAGGAGGAACAGCCGGATCCGTGGTAGCATCCAGGCTCAGCGATATCCCGGAATGGAAAGTTCTGCTGCTCGAGGCCGGGCCCGACGAGCCACCTGGTGCCGAGGCGCCGAGCATGGTGGCCATGTTCCTAGGTAGGTCGTCGCGTTTTGCCTACTGTTTGGATTAATCGGCGAAGAAAGTCGCGAAAATCAGGTTGGCCTTGTTGGAACAGGCTCCGCGATCGACTGGCAATATCGGACCGTGAACGAGAGCAACGCCTGTCTGGCGACCGGAGGATCCTGCAGCTGGCCAAGAGGCAAGAACCTCGGCGGCACGTCGGTTCACAACGGGATGATGTACACGCGGGGGCACCCCAAGGATTACGACAACTGGGCAGCGATGGGTAACGAAGGTTGGTCGTGGAACGAGGTAAGTCCCGGATCGAAGAAACGATCGGAAATGTTGCTAGTGGATAAAATTCGAGACTGACAGATAATTCGCGCACGTAACGGCACGCTCCTGGCAGCAGTTGCGTAAGTCGTATCGCGTGTAGCTAACGAGAGTGATTTACCAATCCGTCGGTCTGATTCACGCTAATAATCTGCGGCAAACTTTTGCGCGACACACTTTTTTTTTCTTTTTCTTGCCCCGCAATAGGTCTTGCCGTATTTCATGTGCTCGGAGAACAACACGGAGATCAATCGCGTTGGACGTAAATACCACGCCACCGGCGGGTTGCTCAACGTCGAGAGGTTTCCTTGGAGACCTAACATTTCCAGCGACATCCTCGCTGCGGCGGTGGAGAGAGGATACCCGCTCACGGAGGACCACAACGGTGATCACTTCCTCGGGTTCACGGTCGCTCAGACGACGAGCAAGGACGGGGTTCGACAGAGCAGCGCGGCTGCTTTCCTCCGTCCGTTCCGTCACAGACGAAACCTTCAGGTGGCTCTCAACGCCACTGCCACGAAGATCATTATCGAAAACGCGAAGGCGGTCGGCGTGCAATATTATCAAGTTGGTATACCGGTTACGCGAACTTATGCATATTCGAAGTCACCGCGTCATTAGCTTCGCTACGATACGATACGCGTAATACTATGTATCCGTATATCGGGGAAAGGCGTCCATTTTTTCCCCTGTCAATAATACGGAAATATTTATGAAAGTCGGGATAACATACGTCACGATACGTTCCTTTTTTTCTTTTTCTTTCTTTTTCTTCCCTCGCCAGACTTTTAACACGTACCACCCGTTACTTTCCACCTCCTGGAGACGTTAAATCGAGATTACGAACGCATTTTCAGCACGGTGAAGTTCGGACAGCTCGAGCATCTCGCGAGGTAATCGTCTCTGGCGGAGCTGTCAACTCCCCTCAACTCCTATTGCTCTCCGGAATTGGACCAAAGGAGCATTTACAGGCCGTGAACGTGAGCGTCGTTAAAGATCTTCCGGGTAAGAGCCGTGACCCGTTCCTGTAATTTACTAAAGCGTTCCCCTGCACCCCCGATATTCTTCCAACGATCTACGAGATCCTGTAATCCCAGGTGTCGGAGAAAATCTACAGAATCACGTGTCGTTCACGTTGTCCTGGACGATAAACGTGCCAAACGCATTCGAGCTGAACTGGGCGTCGGCTTTGGAGTACGTCGCCTTCCAGAGAGGACCCATGTCGTCAACAGGTTTAGCCCAATTAACCGGCATTCTCCCGTCCTCGTACACCACTCGCGATCATCCCGATCTTCAGTTCTTTTTCGGCGGGTATCAGGCTTCCTGTGCCACCACGGGAGAAGTGGGTGCTCTCATGTCCGACGGACCTCGCAGCATAAGCATCTCGCCGACGAATATTCGACCCCGCAGCAGAGGTACCTTTGTCGCATCTTCGAATCTCCTCTCCGCGTCTTTCGCGTCCTCGCGAACGCAAATTATACGCGAGCGTTTATAAACGAATCGGTTTCTGTGCCAGGAACTCTTCGGCTGGCTAGCAACGATCCTCTCCAGAAGCCCTTGATCCACGGAAATTATTTGAGCGACCCAATGGACACGGCTATTCTCGTCGAGGGTATTCAGATAGCCTTGTCGCTCGGCAACACTAGCGCCCTGCAGAAATACAATATGACGCTTAGCAACGCTCCTCTGTCTGCTTGCTCGCGGTATCAGTTCGCGAGCAACGAGTACTGGAGCTGCGCCGTGCGCCAGGACACAGGACCAGAGAATCATCAGGCAGGATCCTGCAAAATGGGCCCGGCTTCGGACCACATGGCCGTGGTGGACCCGAAATTGAGGGTACACGGTATCAGAGGGCTGCGAGTCGCCGATACGTCCATTATGCCACAAGTATTTAACATTTTCTCGTTTCCTTGTTCTTTTTTAATCGCGAGTCGAGCACTGCCGTATACCTCACGTGCGATATTTCGTGTCGAAAGGTGATTTCCGGTAACACGGCCGCTCCAGCGTTCATGATCGGCGAGAGGGCAGCAGCGTTCATCAAGTCCGACTGGGGTGCTACGGAGACACAATGGTACGGGCGTGGTTCCTCCTCTATGTGGAAAACCTCGACGCCGTGGAAAGGCTATCATAGTCAATAGAAATTTGCCATGTTTCCTAGTTCCCGTTCCACGATCGACAACTCGTTGGATCTGTTGCTTTGGGGGCTGAAATACATCGACTGGGACCAGGCTGTCTGGTAGTCAAGACCCTCTAGATCTAGTCCATGATTTAACGGGTTTCTTTCGATGGAAATTACGTCACCGTGATGCCCGTGCAACTTCACCAAAGAGAACGGAGAATCAACGAACATTGGCACTAGCCAATCCAACTACTTAACGCGAATTAATCTTATTACTTTTACATACCCTCTACTTCTTTACTCCAAGTGCCCTGTCTCGTGTCGCGAGTCTATAGAATTGGATTTTATTTAAAACGTGTCCTAGTTATGCGCGTAATGCCCGCTGACTTTCGGCATTTTATTCGACCGCCATTCGAAATAGATGCATTTATGTTTGCGCTGCAACTAAAGTTTCTCCTATGAACGAGGTCGCGGGATTCGGTATAATTTTAGACGGCGAAGCTATCGTCCACGGTAATCTCGAAATTAGTCGTAAGCTGTTTGCTAATGTTACCTAGAGCTACCTAGAGCTACCTAGATCCGTACAAAAGAAGATCCAAATGATCCTTTGGCAACCTTTGTGCGCAGTAATTATAACATTTTTATGCGCATACCTGCTACTAATTACATTAAGCGAGACGTACTACGGAAAATGACTCCTGTGCTTACGAGTGTAGTGACTCGTGTGGCGATTATCTTATCTTATCTTACTGTATCAACGTTGAAATATAAACATACCAAAGAAATGTAAATTGATATTACCGAATTAGTACCGAGTCAATATGCCGGATTATAATTACAGTTTGTTCTGCAGTTTCATCTACCATCTCCTTTAAATTTGCATTATTTCGCAGCTATTTTGCACCACTCTCTGTATCCGCTAAGCGTGAAATAGCAGTTATCGCGCGACACTCGAATTAAGCTTGCAACTCTCTTTAACGTAAATATCGGTGAAACTTGTTGTCAAAGAACACAGTGGGAATAATTTTTAATACAGTTCTGATTTGTCCGTTCGTTCTATCCCGCTCGTGATTACCTCATGCACCGAGTTTGCTTATCTCTCCCAATTATTACTAAAACTCCATTTTTCTTTCACGAATTGTCTCGCTGAAACAATTCCCCGGTCGGATCTGCCATTCCCAGTCATAAGTCGAGTAACGCAAGAATTGTAAATTATCTTCCCATGAGCACCGCATATGCGCAACTTCATCTGTAACCTTTCTATTTCGCTGCTTTATATAGTTCCCACCTCCTTATCTATGAATTCATATCTTTAACATATTCCTCTCTCCCTTCTTGGCTGTTAGCTAAACACCCGTTTCGATAATACTCGAACCCGTTACGCTTTTTACTCTTCAAATAAAGAATCGTAACGCTGGCTACCTGAAAACACCATGGCGCCACTATACTTTTATCGAAGGACGAACGTGAATTATTACAAGTTCCCTTTTCTTCTTTTCCTTATTTTTTGCGCATTTTCACCCAAATCCGGTGCTAGCCTGGTCGTCCGAATATATATTTGGGGACCAAGCCTGTACGAGGGTTAGCCATTGTCTCTGGATTTCACTTTCCGTCCCTAATATCGATCTAATAACTGTAACAGACCTCTTCACTCGCTATTTCCCTCGTTGATTTACTTCTCCCCTCGCGAGTTTGCAGTCCTTCTCTCTCTCTCTCTCTCTCTATCTCTATCTCTCTCTTCGCTGCCCCTTTCCTTTTCCTTCGCGCATAACCATAGGCGTTATATATCGATGGCGGTCGAAGGGCCCAAAGTCAGTAGGCCCAAAGACAAATTGGTCGTTGAGGAGTCTGGAGAGTATTCGGAGTCTTGCGCCGAGTTTGCGAACAAGAGCGCTTGTCCATCCATTATAAGCCAATATGCCATTTCGACGAGAAACGTAACCAACGTACGTCACGCTGAATTATGAAGAAAATTTGAATTAACGAATGAAAGTTTCATCCATAAGCAACGATACGTGTCTCCGTATAGAGTATAGAGCCGAGAAAATTCAGCGGAACGGGAGAGAATCTCGCATAGTTTTAAAGTTTAAGGAGTGACTTCTGCCTTGTATAGTGTCTTGAGGTTTCCTGGATAGGACAGGTGGTGCGAGAGAACACGTTCCTTATACATTCGATGTTGAAACCCGCTCCTCTCGTGTACCGAGAATATCTAGACTCTTCCGTGTAGCTTTAGAATAAGTATCCGATTTAGTTGCGTTATATTCGCGCGATCTTTCGAAATTACCCGAGGTAATTAGTCATTAGGATTCTAGTCGTTTTCAGAACTCGCTTGTAAATAAACACGTTACAAATAAATGGTCGGTACGGTAAAGGAAACCGTGATAAGGAACATCGGTCAATCCATTCTTGTTATACCTTATACGCACCATTCGTCAATATAACAGTGAAACGTCAGATAGCGCTAATTTACAAGTATAATCTCGTGTTCGATTTTACACGTCTGTCCTAAAAAACTACATTATTATCGTTTCCTTATACGACGATAGTGCGAAGATGCGACTATAAAAGAAGCTAGTCGGAAGTAGTCGGTAGCCAGTCGAGTAGGACGAAGCCCACTGTGCACTGTTACGACGACTTCCAGTAGCAGCCCTTTGTGACACCATGTCGGTATGTCGAACATTCTTTTCCTCCTAGAAAATTCGAGCATGCGTACGGTTTACGGTAACGGGATAATCCCATACGCTCGTAATAATCATCGTACTTGTAATTGCAGACGAGTTTGTTGGGGGCAACACTGCCCGTCACGCAATGTCCAGATCCGTTCATGGGAGGACCTCAGGTCACGGATGTCTGTTCCGCGAGCGAGGGCAGTTTGTTTCTATCGCTCCTCAACGTCCTCCTAGTCGCGAACCCGTATATCGGAGATCCATGCGGACGTGTCACGCCGATCAAGGAGCCGGACCCTAGTTACGATTTCATCGTCGTCGGCGGTGAGTTGTCCTACAGCTTGGAACGTCTCGCGAGCATGTATCTAGCGCTCGTCGCGTTTTTTCGAGGAAAATTGAACCATTATTTTTCCACGTAAAATGCAGCTGGTGCTGCTGGATCGGTAGTTGCCGCGAGACTGAGCGAAATCGACGATTGGAACGTTCTCCTCGTGGAAGCAGGTCCGGACGAACCAGCCGGGGCTGAAATACCGAGTAACCTACAACTTTATCTCGGTAATTAATCTCGTCGTTTCCACCGTGTCCACGAATTTAGTCAAAAACGCGTGAAACCGAAGGAAAACGTGTTGCGCACAGGTGGCCCGTTGGACTGGCAATACAAAACGTCGAACGAGTCCACTGCCTGCCTGAGTCAGAATGGAAGGTGCGCCTGGCCCCGAGGTAAGAATCTCGGAGGAACGACGCTTCACCACGGTATGGCGTATCATCGAGGTCATCCCAAGGATTACGACAGATGGGTAGAACATGGAGCCGAAGGATGGTCTTGGGACGAAGTACGTATCCCTATTTATATTTTCCGTTATCGATGGGTTAACGACAAATTTTACTTTGCGAACCCGATTCGTGTCTCTTAGGTATTGCCATACTATCTGAAATCGGAGAATAACACGGAAATCGGCAGGGTTAGTGCCAAGCATCACGCTACTGGAGGACCCATGAACGTGGAAAGGTTCGTCCATACCTGATACGCTCACTGGACAGATCATTCGCTTTGAAAAGTGTTTGAAACGAGTTTCTGGTCGTTGACAGGTTGCCCTATCAGCCTCCTTTCGCTTGGGACATTTTGAACGCAGCGGACGAGGCAGGTTTCGGTGTTTCCGAAGATTTAGCTGGGGACAAGATCACTGGCTTCACGGTAGCTCAAACCATTAGTAAAAAGGGCGTGCGAACCACCAGTTTCAGGTCGTTCGTTCAACCAGCCAAGGACCGTAAGAATCTTCACGTAGTCGTGAACGCCTTGGTCACGAAAGTGAACTTCATAGGCAATCGTGCCGTTGGCGTCAGCTTGTTGATGGTACGAACGCTCGTATAGAACTTGCAATTCGATATCCATCCGATTTTGCAATCTTTTAATTTCCTCGCTACCTTCGTACGCAGAATGGAGAGAAGATACAAGTGAAGGCAAAGCGTGAGGTGGTGTTATCAGCGGGCACGATAAACTCACCGCATCTGCTACTCTTGTCTGGAGTCGGACCCAAGAAACATCTAAAATCCAAGAACGTTCCCGTGGTCGTCGATCTACCAGGCGTCGGCGAAAATCTTCATAATCACCAATCGTTCGGTCTAGATTTCTTCCTGAAGGAAGGTTATTATCCGGTATTCAACGAAAGCAGCGCAGAGCAGTACATTGAGAATCAAACTGGAGCGTTCGCTGGTACCGGTTTGGCTCAAGTTACCGGTGTGATGCCATCCAATCTCACTACTCCGGATGATCCGGATATCCAGATATTCTTTGCCGGCTATCAAGCAATTTGCACCCCCAAATCAAACATCGCAGACTTGTCGTCGGATGGTAAGAGCATGGCCGTGAGATTCACATCGGTGAATTTGCGTCCAACGAGCAGAGGTAAATTTCCCTTGGAATCGGTACATCGAAACACGCGCCTTTGATCGATCGTCTAATCTCTTTTTACCGCTAAAATGAATCGTGCTTTAGGCCGCATCACGCTGAACAGCAACAATCCACTGGACCCACCGGTAATTTGGAGTAACGACATGTCCACTAAACACGATCGCAGCGTCGTAGTTCAAGGACTCGGCATCATCTTGAAACTTGCCGATACCCCGACGATGAAACGCCTAGGCTTGAGGCAACAGAACAAAGTTATACCTCAATGCGCCCATCACAAGTTTGGCAGCGACGATTATTTTGACTGCGCTGTTCGTTGGGACACGAGACCCGAGAACCATCAAACCGGCAGCTGCAGAATAGGCCAGCGTTCGGATCCAATGGCAGTGGTGGACCCACGACTGAAAGTACACGGTATCAAAGGCCTGAGAGTAGCCGATGCGTCTGTTCAGCCCAACGTACGTTGCCTGACAAGTTAACGTGGATATTTCATTCGCTCGATACATTCGATTTTACAAATTTTCCATTTTCTCTTCTTCCTTCGTAGGTGGTTTCGGGTAATCCCGTTGCCTCTGTCAACATGGTTGGCGAAAGAGCTGCAGACTTCATCAAGCAAGATTGGGGAAAACAGACTAGCTAGAAGCGAGTACTACAGGCGATGGAAACGGATATTGTGACGAACTTGTTAATAGAACGCAATAAAATCTATTCGAATAGACATGGTAATTACATTTTCTTGCAAATCCCGTTAAATCGATGATCGAATTCCCGATTCGAGCGGCGCAGCCTTTATTAGCATCGCGGAATTTGACGCGCAGAAATTCCATCGGAATCGATCGCTGGTACAGGTAATATGCCATTGCCTGGACCCTGGATAATATAAGGGAAGTTAGTTGGGAAGTAGGGCCGAGCGTTATAAAAGAGGATAACGATTATAAGTCGAAGCGACTTAAGTTATTCTGTAAACGGGACTGCTGACCAATTCGGAATAGTCGATATAAAGCGAAACTGTTGGAGATTCGACGACGGCGTAGACGACGACGACGACGACGACGACGACACTCTTCTCGTCAAACACTCTACGCTCGAAGACTTTAAACCTCTCGTGATTTCGCGAGGATCTCAAACTTCTATCCACCTCGTTCGAAAACGAATATTTACCTTTGCCGGAGTGGCGTGCGCGCGCTCCTGCACTTCGAATGCTGCAGATGACGGCGAGTTTGCCGGCATCGCGAGAAAGGGTCGCGATCTGCCAGCGGAGAAACTAATTTCGTTGACTCTTGCCGAAGTACAATAAAGGGCAATAACGCGATTTAATTAAAATTAGTAACGAAACCGTTGGATGCATTCGAAATTGAAGAATGGCCGGCAGAAAAGGTCGAGCCGCGATATTGTCTGGCAGGATTATTAAGGTAAAAACGAAGAAGAGAAAGGAGAAACGGACGGCGGAGGAGGTCACATCGGTGGAACGAAGTAGCCTCCCAAGCCGGGAAAACGATGGAAGCTAGAAGCATGGAGAAGTGCACTTGACCTCCTTAGAGTCGTGGCCGCACACGCCTGTACTCTGCGTTGCAGACAAGAAGTCCGCTGAGCAAAACGTAAGACCCCACCGACCCTCGCCAACTCACTCACCCCTTCTAACGCCATCGCAGAGGCAGAGTAAACGCGCTTCCCTTATTGGCAGAAATGATCCCTTATTAGCCTGATCATTTAGCACCGTGTGTATGACAAACAGATGCAAGAGCGTAGACTCGTCCCTAAAGCGTCAACTTTCCATTCTTCCGATGAACGTTCATTTCCGAATTTTATTTAACTATACTTATATTTCGTACACGTGTTAAATATATGTCGAATATTTACCGAGTATAAGCGAAAATAATTTTTGGTACAGGAGTTTCACGGATATCTTACGCTTATGTCAACGAGTAACGTTACCAAATCCGAAGGTAGCGATTTCGGTAGTAGCTCATAGAAGAGCGGGGACTACGAGCGAGCATACGAGGTGCAACGAGTGGAATACCTCTCTTGCCCCTGTGCCAAAGCAGTGGACTTCTTGCGTGCGACGCATGGTACGTTTCGTACTGGCAAGAACGACTTTCCTACCCCTTTCGCACCTCGCTCGCTCTTTGCCCGATCTAAATCTTTCCGCGACCACGTGGGTCTCTCTCTCTCTCTCTCTCTCTCTCTCTCTCTCTCTCTCTCTCTCTCTCTCTTTCTTTCTTTC